GAAACAGAGGAAAGTTGGAAGGCTTATTAGAAGGAAGAGGAAATGGTGACATGTTCTCCATTTATCATGCTTTGGGGCTATGGTCCTAGACCCATTCTCTCTTGAGTAAGGCCGGATATTAACAGAGTTTATTTGCAGTGTATATCTATGTATCTGTTTATATTTACGCAACTTTTGGTTTGATCTTCTCAGTTCAAAGACCAAGAGAAATTAGCTGTGACTGAAAAGGAACAGCATAATCCTCTCAAAGTTATGTCTTGCCAAGTTCCATAATGTTTAGGGCTCTCATTAGAATCAATGGGCCTGGTAAAAAAATTGTGGCTACATTATCGTTTATATTCCGTACAATAGCAAGGTGGTTCTTTACGACAGTACTTTTCATAGGTTTCTCTTTGGTCTCATATTCAAAACATATTTTAAAAGAAAAAATGGCTTGAGGAAAGGATCTTGAAATACTTCTACATCTTTTTCCTGCTTTTTTAAAAAAATGTGTTGTCCATGTTTAATACATAAAACAAATGGATGGCCATAACATTTGTAGAAGAGTGGGAGGAAGGAAGACCCTTCCTTTCTTCTTTATAATTCTCACTGTAGACAGACTTCTGGAGTAGCTCCATACTTTTCAGCTCTTTTTCACTTGTGTCAGAGTACTGTACTAAGTAATAAATTGAAAGTAATAAATAAATAAATAAATAAATAAATTCTGGCTAATACATAAGTAATTTAATAACAAATAGAATCTTTTTTTTCAAGTTCCTTTTCTAGTTCCTCTGCAGAGCCTTCTTTGGTGGTCTCCTATCCACGTACCAACCCTGCTGAGTTTCCAAGACCTGGCTAAACCGATGCCACCTTCCTTCCCCTCGCCCACTACCAGTTTTGCACATTTGATAGGTTCACACATGCATGCACAGGATTATCATTATTGAAATTATAAGCAGAACCATTTCATTTATATCTCACTCACCTGTGCCAGCAGCATTTGTGGGGGATCCACCCCTAAATTAGAAATATGTGATTTATCTCACTGCACTGTAGTTTCTATAGTTAAATTCAGATAAACTCCATCATGATACTAATTCCTCTGTAATTCAGTATTACTTCCCTGTTCCCCAGCATCAAAGATTCTGGTAGGGAGAAGATGACTGGCGTTCTGGTAGGGAGAAGATGACACATTCCATTACCCCAAGCTCCTTTGTAACGGAAGAGTTTCCATCACTTTTTATTTCATTTTACACATCCATCTGAGCGTCTGAATGAAGGATACAACTATATAAATATGCATATCATGGGGGAACAATTTAAAATCAGATCTCTATGGCATATGATCTCTATGGCAACTTTTTAGACAGCCTGTAAACTATACCATCTGATCTGAGAGTCTTGCTCCCTCATCATAGATTTATTGAGGGTAGCAGTAGCTACTGAATGGCAAGGAAAAGACACTTTGCACATGGCCCAGTTTTCACTGTTCTCCAGCTAACCTTCAAACAAAAAACTACCCAACTCACTAAGGTGTGATAGCAAAAATGGACATAGATTTCCCCCCCCCACAAATAAATCCTGAAATTGGATATCAGAAAGCCAAACTGAAAATTGGGTCTTCTATTGTTCAATGGAGGACTGATGTAGAGTGACATGAAACTAGCCACAGGAAATGTTAAGATGTTCTAGGTGAGAACAAACATGGGGGACAGGTAGTCTGTTGTGTTTTTAACTGTTCATATCTGAAAAAGGTGCAGGGAAATTGTCATACCCAAAAGATATGAGCCAACACAAATACATTTTTATGCACCATATATTATAGGTTTGAGAACTGGAACTATGAGTTGGAATTTGGGCCTTGGCTCTAATGAACCATACTTCAGAATAAACCCACCTGTAGTAAAAAGCTGGAGATTTCATTGAAATTGAATTACTTCCCATTCCATCTATCTGAGGCTAATTATTGACTTCCTGAGATTTTTCATTTCTGAGATTAGCACCAAGCATTGGCTTGATGTTCTGTGGGCTTTCCCCTTTACATTAAATTATGTTTAGCCAGATAATACTAGGAAATCAGTGATACAAACAAATTAGAGAATCAAATGAACAAAGTTTGAGTCCAGTGAGTGAGAGAGTCAAATGTCAGCCATTATTTGGTTTAGTTTAATAGTACAAGTCTTGACTACTGTTGATGTAGGCAAACATGCTTAAAATGAGAGAACAAAAGATGGCAAATATTCTTGCCTATCCTGAAGACATACTTAAGGATACAAACTTTGAAAGATGTATCTCACCCAACTAGGGCAGAAAGCTCTAATCTGCATTGCAAATCTCAGACTGACTGTACTTGCACCCCATAGTTATTATTTGTATCTTTCAAAAAATAAAGCTAAAACTAATTGCATGAAAACAGTGCTTATTGGTTAATTAATTAAAGTATTTGTATCTTGACTTCTGACATCTAAGACTGGATCATGGTTTACAACAGAAACAGTAAAGTAGATCATAACAGGTTAAAAACTAACCACCATAATAAATCAACTATGGGAGCAATCAGAAGAAAGTCCTGCCAGATTCATATAAAGGTAGACAAATCAGTTTTCTTTCCTGGACAACATCAAAATGGTATGTAACATACTTGCAAGTTGTCTGTGCTGCAAAGATTTCAAGTCAGAGTGCTTTAGAGTCAGCCTTAAAGGCAGTAGGCAAAAAATCGGCTTAAATCCAAGTACTCTGATTTAGCTCTTCTGGAGCACAGCATTAGAAGTGAGGGCACACACAAACAATTACAACTGAAATCTCCCAAGTTCTTGTAAGATTACTGCTGATCCAAATTCTCTGAAACAACACAAGAGCAGCTTCTGGCTTCCTGGCCCTTCATTTTAATTAATTCATAGAGAGAGAAAATAATAAAAGAAGAGATCTGGTATCTATAAATAATATGTTTTACATGGCTGCCTCCATGTTCCTGAAGGCAGTGTTTGGTCATGCACGAATTGTAAGAACTGACTGCTTTGGCCAGTCCAGAGTTACTCATGTTAAATCACTTATTAGTATAGCTATAAATCAATTTAAAATGGGAGGGGGGGGGCTCCAGTGCTTCCCATGAATTAAATATGAACTTCCCCTGTCTCACAATCTCTTCAACAAAGCAATAGTGGATTTTCCATTCATTCCCCTGGGAATAGTGACGTCTTCACCATAACGTGATTGCAAGGTCCTGTGTATAAACCCTATAAAAACGAGACAGCTGGAAAGGCTGTTCAGAGTGCACTGAAGGGGAGGCAAGGCATTTGTCCAGGAAGGACAGCTGGCAAACTTCAGACCAGTAGGAGCAGTCTCCGGGAGCAGAACAGACCCTTTCTTTGCACATTCCCCTTCGGTAGCTGGAGAAGAATCTTGTGGGGCAGCAGCCAACCAGTTGCGGAGCAATTCAGAACCTAGGAGAGCTCCCGGTACTTCCTTTGCTCCCGGGGACCACCCTGTTCCCAAGGAGACGAGAGCCTCTTTCTGCCTGGTAAGTAAGTTTGAACGGCTCTTTCTGTCAAATTTGACTATAGATCAGAGAAAAACTATTGCTGAATGATTGTGGGGGGTAGGGAGAGAATTCCTGTAAAAATACAAGCTATTTCCGAAGTGGGATCTAAAAAGTGTGTGCGGTTCATTATATGCTGTTTGAAAACAAATTCTTTGAACTCTTTAGCTATTCATCTCCTAATTCTCTGAAGCTTTCTTTGGCTCCAGTAAAAACTTCCGCTCTCTTGCTCCTAATGAGCATTTCACAGATGTTCCCCTGAATGCTGATTTCTACTTTACCTTTAGCAGTCACACTTCCCAAGGTCCTTCAGACCAGCCTCCTTGCATTCTACTGGGAATGTGTGTGCTGTTCCGCGCCCCCCCCCCCTTTGTGTGCATGATTAATACAGTAAAACAATGTATTTTGTATGATAATAAATTAATGATCATTGAAGCCATGTGAAAACTCCAGCTCATAGTATTCAGGCTCTAGTATAAACGTAAGTAATATTGAAAATCTGGACTGATTCCTACAGTTTTTTTACAACAAAGAAGCTGCTTCATTTGGTTTCAAACTGCCTTCATTTGCCATCACACCCCAAAACAAACAGACAATACCATCCAAAGCAGAGTTACACCCTTCTAAGAAGGACATAACTCTGCTTGGGATAGCACTGTGAGTAATTTAAGCCTGTTTTTTTTTTAAACTTCCCAAGTCAAGCCTGTGCAGAAGAACTCCAGTCTAAGCCCTTTGATTTCAATGGACATTGACTGGAATAACTCTGTATAGGATTGGTCTGGTGCAATGCAATCCTAAACACTCCTACTCAGAAGTCCCACTAAGCTCAGTGGGATTTATTCTTGGTAAGTGTGTTTAAAACTACAGCCTTAGTTCAACAGAAATTTAGAAGTTTTGTAGTGTTATTTTAGTAACTGGGCTGTTGAGACCAAAGTGATTTAAATTGATATCATGCATTTAATAACAAGATTGTGCGTCTGTCAGCCAATCTATTACCAGTCTATTTCTGACTTTTTCTGTTGATCTGTATCTTACCCCTGTCTCAGCCTCTGATATCTGACAGTTTATTTAAAGCTCAGTTTGGTCCAAAACTTCTCTGTAACTAATGAACGGTATTTCACAACAGGAAAGAGTTGAAAGGTCAGAAAGAGTGGTGATGGGAACTGCTGTCAAGCCACATCTGACTTATAGTGACCGCTTAGGGTTTTCAAGGCGATAGGCAAGGAGATGGTTTGCCATTGCCTTCCTAATAACCCTGGACTTCTTTGGTGGTCTCCCATCCAAGTACTAATCAGGGCTGACCTCGATTAGCTTCCAAGATCCGATGTGATCAGGCTAGCCTGGGGCATCCAGATACGTGCAGAAAAGAATAGCAAAATGTTATTCAAGTGAACACCATTATTGCCTTACTAAGTATTGGTGGTTTATGCAAGACTGTAAGAGAGAAACTTTGTATCATCTTTGTCAATTTAGGTCCAAAGAGATGGATCACAGAAGTGGTTCCCAGCTTCCCCTTTCCTTTATACTTCTCTGCATCCTCTGCTCACGAGCTCTTGCTTTACCTCCTCTAGAATCCTACTCAGCTATGAGGTAAGGGCTACTCTCTTGAAAGTGCTCATCTAGATAATAAAATTAGTGTCCCGATTAATCAGACTATAACAGAAAAAAACCTCTAGCTTTGCAGATGCCTATATATTTGGCAATGCCCAGATCTAAGCCTTCTGGGATGGGAGCTGCAAAAATCTTTTACTTGGCTGGCCATGGTGGGAAGTACTATGTTTTTATCTCTTCTAATATGGCTTTAAATAGATATATGCATTCAGTCTCTGTCATTGGCACTCACCCTTATGTGTGGAGTGGACCTTTGAACAAGAAAAGGAAAAGAAAAATGGGAAAGATCAATTGAGTTAATGGAAGATAGTCCAAACCATTCATCAAATTGTTAAGTTCAATGCATTTGAAAAACCAGTCTACTTGTGCAAATATGATTATAATGGGAGAGTTAGTGTGTTTGTCAACCTGAAATGAAAATAAGATTCATTCTTTAACAAATGGAATGCAAAGCATCTGTGGGTATTAGGAGATTTTGTTAAATCTCATTACATTCTTTAACGATTGGGTAGGAAAGTTGTTACTGTGCTGAGTCTCTCAGTGTAGGATTCTCAGACTTCTTGAGTTCTACTTCCTGAGTTTTCCTTCTTATGAAAAGACTCATATACAGAAAGACAGAGAAAGAGAGAGAGATTTCATTTTATTTGAAAGTGGCCTATCCTAGAAATAAGATAAGGGGCTGAAAGTACTCTTTGGACACAAACACAGTCTTAAGTGCATGAAAATTTGTTTTCATGTAGGAAAATAACACTCAACTTTATTTGCAAATACAAATGAAAAGTATGCTATGCAGACAAGAAGCCTGATCAAGCTATATACATATTCCAGTCTTTGCTGATGAAGAGGATTCTTCTACTTTATCTTAAAATTAACACTCAGCTCTTGGGGTTCCCTGTGACATCTGATCAGCCACTGCTAGAAATACAGTGCTGGCCTAGAGGAACCATAGGCCAAATCCAACATGGATGCACTTGTGTTCAAATGACAGCCAGTCTTGATTTATTTTAACAGCAAACTTTTGTGTTCAATTGCTTTTTTCCAGTAAGTTTTGTCTTAAAACAGCATTTCCCCCCACTGAAAATTAGCATTTTGTAGAAGAACTAGATAACACTACCATGAGCTAAAATAAAACTTGTTTATAACTGAAAATATAGGATCTTGTGTATTTGAAAAAAGTCCATTTCTGTGCCTTCTCCAGTAGAAAATTACAAAGCATCCAGCTTTAAGTTATGTCAGCAGTGGCTATAAATCTTTAAAATAAAACACAACATCAAAAATATGGCAGAAGGAGATAAAGCCAGACCCATGCCCCATAATCATTGGTTACACAGGCAGCGTGAACTAGCTAGGTGTAAGCATGGAAAATGTTAATCTAGATGCGGACCCTGCTGCAGCCATTAGAAGTGGTGAGTGCCAGTCGACTAAATTCCGGCATCAGAAGCACTCTGATGGCTTGTTAATAGCCACTGAAGTGGCAGGGCAAGATGAAAGGCGCTCTTGTTGAACTGCTCTTTAGAGGATGTTATTGGCCTATCAGAAACAATTTGATCATTCAAAAAGATATTCCATCTATTCCTGTGATCACCATTAGGTGAGGACTGATGGAGTGGAATTCCATTCAAAGAGGCAGCTAGCTTTAACTGAAGTGGTATGCACCATGATCAAATATCCCAGACAGTCTACAATTATTATTTTGATCATAACTACACATTGCAAATCATGAACAATAAAAAAACCCTTCACATTTCTCAAGCACTTATTATATAAGCTAGAGCTCATTTTATGGAAACATTTTACATTATGGATTTTTCAGAAACCTACAGGGTTAGGGTGAAAACAGACACAACATATTAAGACAGCAAAATGGTTTGATAACACTATCTTCAAAACTCACATTCAATGGCTTGGATCCAGTGATGCACAAATGGAAACATGAATGGACTTTGCACAGTTCCATTTGCACAAGTTCTTGTGCTAACACCTGGCACTTTCCTTTCTGCGGACACTTTCACACACACACACACACACACAATAACACACTTTCAATCCACTTTCAATGCACTTTGCAACTGGTTTTTACTGCGTGAAATGGCAAAATCCACTTGCAAACAGTTGCTGAAGTGGATTGAAACTGCATTATTCAGCATGTGTGAAAGCACCCTGTATGTTATGATGCCTAGCAATTGGTTGCACAAGATCTTGCACAAGCAGAATTGCAGATGGGGATACAGTATGTTTGCCTCAGTGAAAGTGGCCACCATGGTCTTTTTCTTGCATCTCTGCTTTCACAAAAGCTCTACTGTAAGCAGAAATATCGTGCTAGAGCCGACACAATGTTTTTCTGTCCTGGTGCAAGCTTTGGGGGGAAATATCCCACCATTTTAGATGTGGTTCAGACTGAAATAGAATAGCTTTCTTGCTCTGGAGGAATAATGAGTGCTGATTATGCTATGAGTGTAGAGGTCATTAATTGTCTAGTGCGGAATGAACTTCCTTGTGTAAATACATTTACCATAGAAGACTTTGTGTATTTGCCAACTCTAGCAGTCTTTACCCTAAGAATAATATTAAGATTGCCTCTTTGCCAAATATACCTTTGGGCAGATGGAGATTCTGTTAAATCCCATTACATTCTTTTATCAACATTCGCTCAGTAATGACTGGGTAGTAATGATGTGAATGTGGCCATGTCTCTCAGCGTAGGATTCTTACTGTATGATTTCTTCCTTATAAAAGGTCACATACACATTCAGAGAGAGAGAGAGAGAAAGGGGGAGGGGGAGAGAGAGAGTTCAATTTTATTTCAAAGCAATCTACCTCACAAATAATATAAATATCTAAAATATTGCCAATATATCTTTCCCATGGTGCAATCCTGGGAATACTTTTGCAACTGCTGGGGGAAGGGGTTAGTGAAGTATGAACATATGTTAGAAAAAAGCTGCCTGTGTAATTTTGGAGAGAGAGAGAGAATCTGCTTGCCTTGACAACATTGCCTCTTTAGATTTAAGGGGTGGGGGGAACTGTTTGCAGTGGAAAGAATTAATTTTGTTCTTCAGCACTGGATTGAGCAACTCTAAATGGGAAAAAAGGTTTTCATTAGTATAAGGCAAGTTTCCCTGAAGCAGGCTCCCAATGGTCTTCAGTGGAGACATTATTTTGAGGCAAAACACACTGATAAGGAATCCCAAAATAATAATATTGTACAAGCTTGGCTGCTTTTAGGGGGAAAAAGTGACTTGGTAAAATTCTAGCTGGACTAATATTCTGGATCTAAACCCTACATGCCTCTGTGTACTCCAAGAGATGATGTTTATCAACAACAACAACAACAACAACAACAACAACAACAACAACAACAACAACAATAATAATAATAATAATAATAATAATAATAATAATAATAATAATAATAATAATAATAATATTGGCACGTGGTCTTTTCCCAGGGTTAAGGACATTGTGTATTCTTTTGCATGTCATATATTTTATCTCATCATAATCACTGGGCTGGAAAATGGCAGTTTTAGGTCACGGAACATAATTAAATGTATAAAAGAAAAATTGATACAACCTCTTACTTGCACGAACAACAGCTGGACAAAAGGCTTTGTATCATGCCAAATTATTAAGCCTTAGATTCTATGAGCAAAAGGGGGGGGGGCTTTCCAGGGCTGTTTTGGCATTTGAGGGAGAACCCATTGGGGCAGGGCCAGGCAGCAACTAGTGGGCTACTCTATGCTACTTGTGCAACTCACTCAGGTAGGGCAGAGGTTCCTGGATGGCTTGATGCCATATACCTTGCCTGGGCCCAGCAGCAACCTGAATTGCATGACTGTTCCAGGCCCAGTGGCAGTAGCCACCATACAACTCACCTGACTTGCTATCACATGACTTTTACAATCTGGCCAGACTTTTCCCAGGGAGAGACTGCCAGGGTAGAGAAGGAGAGACAGCTGAGAGCCAGTGTCATGTTTGGTTCAGGGAAACCCATCTTCAAATCTCCACTCTCTGTGGCTGCTTGCCATTCACTATCTCTCAACCTAGTCTACCTTATAGTGTTGTTATGAGGATAAAATGGAGACAAGGAGAATGATGTAAAATGTTTTGGTTCTGCATTGAGAAGAAAGGTGGAGTTATAAAAGAAATAAATAATAAAGCTAAAATATGGGGAAGCAGATAAAAGAAAGGAGGGAGGGAGAGAAGGAAGCAGGGAAATGGGAAAGAATATGGGGATTGCCAGAAGGACAGAAAGAGGGGAAAGTGTGGGGAAGAAGAAGAGGAGAAGAAGAGATTGGATTTATACCCCACCCTTCACTACCCGAAGGAGTCTCAGAGTGACTTACAATCTCCTTTCCCTTCCCCTCCCCATAACAGACACCCTGTGAGGCAGGTGGGGCTGAGAGAGCTCTTTTGAGAACTGCTTGTGAGAGAACAGCTCTGAAAGAAACTGTGACTGACCCAAGGTCACACCAGCAGCTGCATGAGGAGGAGTAGGGAATCAAACCCGGTTCTCCCAGATTACAGTCCATGTTCCTGACCACTACACCAAACTGGGAAGATGATCGAAGGGAAAATCAAGTTGTTAGGTTCCCTGCTTGTACATTTATCATAATATCAATTTCACACTGATACTCTCTCAGGTCAGTTTCTATGGACGTGAACAAGCAAAGTTAGCCCCTTCTAAGTCTTTTTTATTTGAATGCTAGTGTCAATCACATGTAAAAAACTCTACCACTGAAATCAGTAGGGCTTCACTTCAGCTGGATCGTGTTCTGTATTATCTTGTCAGTACACAATGCTTCATTTTCATGAACTTGTAAAATAAATGTTTCAGAGTAAAGATATGCACATGATAGATACACTGTTAATAATCTTTTTTTTTGTTTCTTTTCACTTGACTCTCATATCCTCTGGCATTTTCAAACATTGTTTTATTCCTCTCCCCTGCCCCCCATCAGATTAGGAAACAGAATCCCATTTGATGGGGCAAGTGAATCAGACCAAGCTCCATTAAAATTGGAGGCTGACATTTTGCATACACTAACAGATAATGATAAATTCTATTATGATGTCCCCAGAGCTATGGACAGGTAGGTTTGTTTTAAATCGAATAATCATTGCAAATACACAGGTCTGTCACATTTAATTAAGGCAAAGGGAGCTGTTGGTAAGTTCTTTGAAGGTTTCTGACCACTCCTTTTTTACTTAATGTAACCCCGTTTGCATTACTAGAAATTATACATTAGAAAATATGTGCTAGCTTTTGTTGTAAATAAAATGACTGGGTAGGTATGACCAGGTTAACTATAACCATTAAACTGTGTGGTGAAGTGGTTAGAGTGTCCTACTCAGGCCTGGGAACCCCAGGTTTGAATCCCTACTCAACCATGGAAATTTGGTGGTGACTTTGGGCCAGTCTCTCTCACACACTCAGCCTTCGTGTTCTGTATTATCTTGTCAGTACACAATGCTTCATTTTCATGAACTTGTAAAATAAATGTTTCAGAGTAAAGATATGCACATGATAGATACACTGTTAATAATCTTTTTTTTGGTTCTTTTCACTTGACTCTCATATCCTCTGGCATTTTCAAACATTGTTTTATTCCTCTCCCCTGCCCCCCATCAGATTAGGAAACAGAATCCCATTTGATGGGGCAAGTGAATCAGACCAAGCTCAAGGCTCATTAAAATTGGAGGCTGACATTTTGCAAACTACACTACCAGATAATGTCAGGGGGTGTGGCATATGCTAATGAGTTATGCTAATGAGTTCCCCTAGCTCTTTTTCTATGAAATGACCCCTGATAAAATGGAGGAGACAAGAAAAATGTAAGCTACTTTGGGTCTCCATTGGGGAGAAAGGCGGAATATAAATGAAGTAAATAAATAGTAAATACATAAAAATGTCATTCTAAGAAGGTAGACCACAGTTAATTTTACTGTAAAACTCTTCATTATAGAAACAAAAGACACGCTGATGGACTCTTCACAAGTGGATACAGCAAACTTTTGGGTCAGCTCTCTGCACGAAGGTATCTGGAATCACTTATTGGAAAAAGAATTGGGTGAGTAGCACGCAGACAAAAGAAACTCCTTCGTCATCAGCTCTGGTATGGGTTTTTCAATGAGTCTCATTTCCGGAGGAGGTTATGCATCTGACTTTTAAGGACTCTCATTCAAAGTCATTTACTGTGACTCAGAATGTATGTATGTTTGCTATACATTTGTATCAATGGTAAAGCAGTCTGTAGTGAGTAAGGAAGCTCTGATTTGAGCCCTAATTGTGTAGTTAGAAATCTGTATTGAGTTATTGGCAGAAGTGCTGCTTTAAACTGTTACATTGTTTAAATTCTACATTTGTTGATACAATGAAAAAGCAATTCAGTATAGGAAATGGATCAGAAAAATAACCAGCCAACCTCTCCCAGTGTAAAACAAATTTACATACAAGTTTTAAATTATTAAGCAATATGAAGCAATATGAAGCAATTCTTCACGAAGCAAACGAAACTTGGAAACAAAATAAGATATCCAAAGATTCTTCAGTGAACCAACCTCAGATCTCTGAAAATCAAACTGAAAAGCTGAATATGAAATTGTATGCATCTGAATTTTCATTTTGAATATAAGATGAGATTCCAGGTTTGTTTACTGACACTTTGTTGAACATTCTCAGGTAGCACAATTGGGAAAGGCCTCCAGCTGACATCTTGCACAGTGGCTGCCAATCAAAGGATGAAGGCATCTCTTTGAAACGGTATTTGCTCTGACAAGTACTGAGCAATGCTTGTTTTGTTTGAAATCAATGAGATGTGCTTGCTTGACTCACATAGCTTTCCTAATGAAACATAATGAATTTTCTTGGGTTACTTTTGTGACTGCCATGATTCTACACTGAGAAATGGTACTTAGTGCAGGGGAAGAAGTGTTCTTATACCTAACATCTGGATTCCTTTCAGAATATTTTGTTTTGATTTATTTGATTTTTACTCTGCCCTTCTTCCAAAGAACTCAGGGCAGTATACACTTTTCTCCTCTCCCATTCCTCTCTAAGAGATTAAGATGAAAGAAAGTGACTGACCAAGGGTTACCTGAGAACTGTCATGGCTGCCTGGCCATTTGAATTCAGTCTTACTTCAAGGGAAAAGTTTGGGCATGACCATAACAGGCATTTAATTAGATAGAAATTTTTAAAAAATCAGAGAGACATGAACATTTGGGTTGTGAAACAAAAGTGAGAATACACTTATCACGAGCTAGTTTGTATAAGAAATATGAGTTGTGGAATTTAAAATTCTGATTGTTTTGAATGATTTGCAACATAAGGCATTAATTTCAACTCTCTTTTATGTTCAAGAAATAACAGCCCCGTTGAAGAAGAGATGCCTGTCAAGCGCCACTCAGATGCTGTCTTCACTGACAACTATAGCCGCCTCCGAAAGCTAATGGCTGCGCAGAAATATTTGAACTCTATTTTAACAGGGAAAAGAGGGTAGGAAGAAAGAGCTTCACCAGAATGCACAAAAGAAGCAGTGTTTTAGAAGTTTGAAGCAGTAATGAGCTATTAACACAATCTTCCTTTTAACATATAGAAAAGCTCTAGCCACATTTTCTCCTAGTGGCTTTCTATTGAGGACAATTTATAATAAAAATAGCTTGAAAGAAGATGAATTTTGTTCAGAAAGAATAGGGATCATGATCCAAGTATATTTTTGCATGCTTTGTACATGAAGCATGATTTCAGGAAGAACTTGAGAACCAACCCACTTGTTCTGAAGCCCTAATTTTATAGATCATTAAATAAAACGTTCAGCATTCTGCTTTGAGTAAAACCATTTTCTGTAAAAGCACTATATATTGTGCTACATAGTAAAATTAGGCTTTATCACTTTAACAAAGACTAATAAAATTTAATAAAATAAAAGAGATAGTTACAAGATGAATGTACCACTCTAACAGAATTTATGTTAATCTTCTGCAATAGTCAGGAAGAGCTGAACAACGCCAACCTTCCAGATGAAACGGAATTGCTTGAACCTGTGTTCTCAGAAAACTATGATGGTGTCACTGTAGATGATCTTCTGAACCATTTCGAATTAGTAAGTTAAAATTTCTTTTGTATCATTAGGGAGTCATCCTACCCTTAAATATGCACATTTTAGCTTGGATCCAGTAAGGAACTTTGCCAGGACAGTCCTAAACTGCATGAGTCCCATAGGACTCATGTTTCAGGTAGATCATTGTGTATATTTAAATAACTGTACAATGCTTTGTGAAGGATTCCTGAGGAAAATTAGCATATTGATACCGCTAATTCGCACAGCTCACTTGGGTTGTAGATTGTGGATACCAAGGCATGAAACCCAAATTGACTCATTTAATTTAGGTGGATATTAGGAATGGGGACAAACCAGGCAAATGTGGTTCAGTTCACGTTTTGTGGCACAAACCATCACGAACTTTTAAGAGCCAAATGAATTGGTTCAGTTTGTGTGATTTGTGGTGAAGTAGAATGCCCCCCACAGTGTCACCTTCAAGGGCAGACCTGGTATTGACTGACCAAGAGCCCCTGGTATGCAACAACACAGGTTCAGAAAGTTCAGGAGTTTATAGAACAGATCCTGTGCAAGCTATAGACACCAAACTCACAGGGGATCTCCAGCTGACTCTCCTCTACCTGTCCTACAAATTTGGTGAGGATTGGATTTATGTCATTGGATTGCATTTGAGTCATGGTCCCCCAAATAAGGTGCCCCCATCCTCCATAGTTTCCAATGGAGGGGGGAACAGCAAAAAAGCAAGGGCAATAGAAGTCCAGCAGAACAGAATAAAAGTCCCAGAGAATCTCTGCAGTAGAAACTGAAAGTGAGGGGCATTTTTGCAAGCCCAACAGAACCAGTGCAGTGAGCCCAGCAGAACCAGTGCAGTGAGCCCAGTAGAACCAGTATCATTGTGGCAGTGCAAACCTAATTGCACTAGGGTCAAACCAGAGAATCTCTATAGTAAAAACTGCAGTCAAAACTGAGGTGGGGGACCACTTTTGCAAGCCCAACAAAACCACTGAAATGTAGTAGTGCCCAACAGAACTCAGAGCTACTATGGCAATGCCAGCTCAACAGGACTGATGTCTAGCATAGAATCACAATCCAAGCAAGGGGTGTGCGTATTAGAAACCCAGCGGAACTAGAGCAATATACTAGTGCCCAACACAACACAGTGCCAATGTGGCAAAGTCAGCTCAATCACAATTCAACCAAGGGGGGCATTTTTGCAAGCCCAGCAGAACCAGTACAATGTAAAGAGTGCCTAGCAGTACCAGTGCAATGTACTAGTGCCCAGCAGAACCCAGTGCCAATGTGACAATGCCAGCTCAATCACAATCCAAGCAAGGGGCCATAATTGCAATCCCAGCAGAACCAGTACAATGTACAGAGTGCCCAGCAGTAGCAGTGCAATCAAAGCATCAGAACCCAGTGCTCATGTGTCAATGCCAGCTCAATAGGACTGATGTCAAGCACAGAATCACAATCCAAGCGGGGGGATTTGCAAGCCCAGAAGAACCCAGTGCCAATGTGGCAATGCCAGCTCAATCATAATCCAAGATAGGAGGGCTTGAAAGTTCATGGAAAATTCATGCTGGTTGATCTACCACAAACTTCAGTTTGTGAACCATGAACAAGCCAAAATTCATCACAACCTTTTAGTTCTTGAGGCAATTTGTGTCCATCCCTAGTGGATACTGTGTCCCTGAGGATAAAAGTACTGGCATTATAAATTTAAAAAGCTTACCACAATTCATTGCTTCACATTTTTCTGGTTAACCAAATCTAAGCTTCTCCTGCATCTGACAGACCAGGGCTGCAGCTCTGGTTTATATGCATGATTCTCAGATTGTGGGCTGATAATTTGATACATATCCAGTGGGTCAGAAAGGCATTGTAGAAAGCACACAAGACGGTCATCAGCAGATACTAGAGATAATACGAGTAGATTCAGACAAGTGGTCCCCAGCATTTGATGATTCTTACAGTTGTCAGGATTTGAATTCAGGGAAATTAAAATGCTCAAATACAGATAAAATTGTTCATACTTAGGCAGCATTATAATTCATAATAGGGTCACAGGGGCACTTAGTGCAACAGCACATTATCTAGCTTCAGTTCTAGTTTAAATGAAACAACAGTTATCTATATGTGTGCATTCTACATGCCACTGCTGGAAATGTGAAGAAGAGGAACAAGCAGAAAAAGGCCTTGATAGGAGTAAGATATTTTGGTCCCTTTCTGTGGGTTGTGTGTGATTTCATGAGCTGCAGAAGTTACAGAGGCCCAGTTGGACTTTAACTGTAAGAGGGACCAAAATGGCAAATAAAGAAGAGCTAATTGGCTCCTCTCCAGTTGCCAGACATCGAGGACTTCAGCAGCAGAAACATGTGTTGCTTTTTATTCTGATGCCCTCAAAGCAAACCTACACAATAGGACAGTAAGAGCAATGTAAAATGGAATAAGCAACACAGACAGCACAGCCAATTAGTTTTAATTTTAGTTAATCATACCAGATGCCAGAACAGCATATCTGGACAATATCACTAATATAGGCATCTGTGCCCTATGCAGAATTTCAAGTTTTCCCTTCTTAGGACTGAATTACATTGGAATCTGGTCACATACAACTTGAAAATTTTTTAAACAGTGTATGAACATCAAGGGATCCTGGGCTTGAATTAGATAGCTCATACTCTGGATAAGATCTAGTCTTGTAAACCTCTTCAAAGGACTATGCGTACTGAGCTTTGAGAGTCCTCTTCAGATGCAGAAGGTACTGGAGATGTGCCACATCAACCCCTATGTGGCAGGCAGTATGAGGCCTCTGAAATGGATTTTAGTCTCAGCCGTAGTCCTAAACCTTCCTTCCAGCAACTGAATCCTGAGACTGAGGAGAACATCCGAACACCTAATTTCAGTTAATGTTGCCCACAGATAAGAACTGGTGTCAAATTACAAAGCCTTTTTAATCCACACATTGGACCATGTGGTTACGATGACACCTGGCCATAAAACAATAGTAGGGAATTTTTGCAGCTCCACATGTAGATTAAATATCTTTCAAGTATGAAATCAATCACATTAATCTCCCACATAAGGAGGACTTATGAAAATACTGTGAGTATCCAGTGGTAAAAACCATTGTCTAAACTGGCCTCAAGTCTACTTGGAAAAAAGTCAAATGATGCTGACATTTCTTTGATCTTCGGAAGCTGGGTCAATAGTGGTATCACTTCATAAATTGTATTTCTGATTCTCTGTATTGTCATGGTGTTATACAAATTAATATCCAGTCAAAAATAGAAGATTGAAGTCAAAATGAGGAGGAAGATCTTGTATTTTATTGCAATGAAATACAGAAAACAGTTAGGCCGAAGGACCCATCAAAGCTGACTGCTTTCTGAGCCCAATCAGGAAATACATGAAGTTAAATACTTAATATGACATCATCATATCATCATCATCATGAGAATAATATTCAGAAGGCATAATTGGTTACAAAAACTTAAACAACATTTACATAAAAATCTCCTTATTGGTCAAATGTAAGAAAGGTGTGCCTGTGCAATAGCGTCATATATTTACTTGACCTGACCTAAGTCATATCGGCCAAAGCTTGTTCTCACCCAAACAAAGGTGTTTTTCTCTGATACCAAGTAAAAGATCCTTTTTGACCCAGACACAATGAAGTTGTAACCTAAACAATTAGAACCATGAACCTTCTACCTTCTTTTGTACCAAAAGAATGTTATTGTCTTGTCTGTTAACATGAACTGGAAAAATACCCTGACCCACAAAGAAGAGAGGCCTTCTATCTACCAGGCCTTCATTACATTCCAATTAAATGTTAAATCTATAATAAACCTATAAAAACCAGAGAAATATGAATAATCAAAAAAGAGGAAAATCTATATAGTCCCATCTCTACTACAATGGTAATAATTTTCTCTAACAATTTTATATTAACAGTAGCTTTACAATAAGGACTATATTTCTTATTTACCACTAGCCTGATACCTGTGCTTTGCTACGGTGTTTAACTTCCATAAATCCAGTTATAATACTGATGATATAAAGTTTGAAATGTAACATTTGTAGCAGGAATTCTAATGGAGAAGATTGTAGTGTAAAAAATGAAGTGAGACATACGTACTTTTTTCTCTCTACTGAAGGACCTCTTTGTAGACTGCTGGGGCAGGCTCCCTCATGGCTTTAAGCACCCTGCAACTGCTGCTGCACTTGACAGACAACTGCCTGTTAGATGTAGGAGGTG